CTGCATTTAGAAGTGTCATAATCCAGTAATATAATCCAGAATCAAGCTAAGGATCTCAGTGACTGTAGAGTTAGAACATGGATATTTCTATGATTTAAAGAGGCAGAAGATTTTATAATGGATCTTGCTTTTTTTTAAATTATTCAATGTCTTATACAGAATTAGTGTTGAACAAGGTGGAAGCTACTATTAAATTTTCCAATACTTAGGCCATGCATTATTGAAGATTTGTTTCTATTTGAAATCCCGTCTAGTTCAAAGATTCTATGAGTGAACAGAAGTCATCATCACCAAAGAGATGTTGCACACATATCACCAATATTTATGTATTTATTTAAAACATTTATATAGCTGCCCATTTTATAACAAACTCCAGACAGCTCCCAAGCAAAAAGTAAAGCGATATAAAAACCATATTAAAATTACAAAAAATTAAAAACAAAGTATGTTCCTGCTTTGGCTGGTTGTCTCTGATAACAGTAGCAAATTAACTGACCTTCTGTCAATGAACTAACCAGTTCAAGCCCTAGACAGATTGTGAGGAGGTTGGAAAGGGTTTGCTCAGTTTCTCTGCAGGATATGAATACAAGCAAGCAAATAATTGAGCTGAGGTATTTGCTGTTGTTGTTTTGAGCTTGGTGATGGTTGTTAATTATAAATTTCTGAGATCCAGGAGATGCAGGAAGCAGCTTCTGTTTCTGTTATGTTTTACTCTTGTTTTCATGCAACTATTTCTCTCTTATGATTCATTGCCAAGGATCAGAGCTTTCTGGATTCCTTTGTTGCTACCATTGGCTAATCTGGACATTTGTAATCCGGATCCTTGCTCTCATCCTCACCCAGACTGTTACTTTGTGGAACAGAAATGGAAGAAAAAGCCATTGATGGTTGCCTAGCAACTAGCAGACACATTTACAGTTTAAGAGTTGATGAGAAAAACATAGGCAGGGAATATCAAATATTTACTTCCTTTCTTGCAATACCACCCACGAAAGTAGAAAATCCATGCTGCTTTAAGCATACCAATATTAGAATTTAACCTCAAGGCTTCCTCACAGCTCAAGAATGGTGTGAGATGAAGGATCTGTGACTAGTTGTTTGCTGAGGGTCATTGTTGAAAATGTGAGAGGTGAAGTCAGGTTGCCCATGTTATCAACATGCCCCAAAGCTGAAGTGCACTTTGGCCATGTGTGATAGAGACCATGCATTAACTGATAGGCTGAAAGGAGAGCTAAGTGTGAAGTGATATAGGCTGGCTGTGTTTCTTTGTGCAAGTGGTTAATTTGATATCTACATTTGTCCTGGCCCTTCTCACATCATCCTGGTTGTGAAGAGATTGGAACAGCAATTATGTTGGCATTGGGGACGTAGTATTGAACAATTCCAAATGTACAGTATCAAGCTAAACACATTCTGTCACGAAATCACATGAGATTAATATAAACTTCAAGAACAATTTAGATAAGGAATATGTGTGTGTGTGTGTGTGTGTGTGTGTAATGGAGAAGTGTTAAATATATTTCCAAGTATTGCCATTTGAACCAATATTAGAAATTGACTGATATTTTTAATAACGAAGCTAAAAAAAAACCAAGTAGATTCAAACATAAGCATATTACATTATATCCACTCCAACCTAGACAATTCTTGATTTTTCTTACTTTTACAGTCAGAAATAGAATCAGAGAGATGAAACAAGCTATTTAGGCCATCAAATCCAGCCTGCTGTTCAATCCAGAAATCCAAAATGAAGCATATCCAATAGATAATTTTCCAGTCTCTGACTGAAGGCAAATTTTCCCCACTAGCAAATAACAATGCTATTTCCCTATCCTGGAAATGGCACAAAACTGTTCCAGCATGAAATGTCATGTCTCCATTGCCAATCTGTATCTGACTTCTGTTGCTCTTGTTGCACATCATTACAATCACCCAACTTCAAGATAATGAATGGCAAAAGCTAATACATTTTATAAAGCTTATCTATCCTTAAATAATAGCTTGAACAAGAGGAAAAATACTATTCTAACACTGGTACAAGCATGGTTAATTTAAATCTGCCTAAATCATGGGCTAGTGATATGAAGGCAATATCACAAAGTCCTGGGAGGAAAAGGATTGTGCCATGATATTGCTAGGTATAGGTGGGGCATGACTTTCATCCCAGGAAGGGTTTTTCACACTTTCTTTGGTAGTAATTTGGTTTCACTATCCAAATATCTGAGTTTCCCCCCTCCCACTCTAATCTTCAACAACCAGTTTTCCTATAATTTAGGTCAATCCCTCTTCTGCATCCTGTAGTTTTTAAAAAAGATATTGACCTTATGTGTGATACTGATCTAGAGACTTGAAATTTTTAACCCATTCTGTCAGTTTTACCTTTTTTTAATTGATTCAATTTCTCTGAATTTTTCTTAAGATAATGCAGAGAACTAAACATAGGAAGGATTCAAGATGGGACTGACTAATGCAGAATAAGGTGGATGTATTATTTCCTGTGATTTAGATGTTAACAGTTCTTTTAATACAACCGAAAATTGCATTTGCCTTTTTGGTATGGTCACACTGCTGAGTAATGCAGTGGATGATCAAATACAGTTCCAGTTCACACATATAATTACTATCTGCAGTCATGGGTTGTTTTTTTTTTTCACTTCTGTTTCTAGGCACCATCAATAAAAAATATTTTTTATTTCTTCTCTTTCTCTCTGTCCACACTGTCATCTAATAGGGATGACTTATTACATATTTGCTCCTTAAACTCCACTGTCAAACTCCTGTTAAGTATCCATGATTAGGTCTGCCAGGAAGTGAACAGATTTATTTTTTTAAGTTGTTAAGAATAGTTCAAACTGCCTATGATATTAAAAATGTATCTACCACTTTTTCCTTCTAACTGAATCACACGAGTTGATGAGGAAAAATTAGAATTGGAACTATAGCATCTCAGGGAGAGCTTTTCTAACCCCTTCCTCTAGTTTTTCTCATCCCTTCTTCTATTCAAGAAATGATCCACAATAGAAACATCCTCTCTGCTATGGTATTAGTTTAGAGAGAAGTTTCCATTGACATTGTTAGGGATATACACCCTAGCAGAACGTGCAACGGCAGTCTAGCAG